TATAGGAACATATTTTCCATTTCAGTTGTAATATGTATCACAGGTTTCCCATCCCATATCCATAGAAGGCCAAACTGAACATCCAGTCTGTGATACCTCCCTGTCCAATGTTTTGAAGCAATTCCCACACAGTATTATAGGTTCACTTGTCACAAAAGCTTTCAACAGAACTTGAGGCAATGAAAGTCTTCTATTAATAACTCTGTGCTTCACTTTACTCTAGTATTACCTAAATTGTGGCAGCGCTCAGCACTAAAATACATACTATTTGTTGTTTCTCTGAATACTTTTGGAAGTAAGCAAAGATAAACAGTTTTAGATTTAGAATGACAATGAATAAAATGAAAATTAATTTGCTGGAGTAACGCTTCAGAGAAGGGAAGGCCAACCTATGTAAGAAAAAGTCAACTCTCTGTCCATCCATGCTTAGCTAAAAAAGTATGGTTTATGTGCATGTGTACATGTATGTACTTGAGTGCACATTCACACACAGAGAATTAAAAGGATTTCAAGGAAGTAGTTTGAATTAATTGAAATAAATCAGGTGTAATGAGAATGTTATAATAATTGCTAATTGATGAATTTATATTTCTGTTGAATTATTTTATCAATACTCTGAACAAGTTTTTTAATACAGCTGATCTCACAAAATAATTTATTTTTCAGATTTCCATAGTAAAAATAACACTCGATTATTACAATGGAAGTAATATCAGTCAATAACATCAGTTCAAAAAAACTTCAATATTGTCTGAGTTTTGGAGCATTTGTTTATATGACCTGAATTACTGTTGATGCTTTTTTTTTTTTTTTCAGTGCAGAATTCACAATAGTACTCATTATTTCCTTCTCCATGTCTTGCTAGGCCATTATTTATATTATTTGTTGTATGTGCCCCCCAGAGACCAAGTAAGTTAGGCACCTTTATTTTGCTGATGAAGACCAGAGGGGATTCACAGCGTACTTTAATGTATGTTACCTAGGAAGAAATGTGGTATGCTAGATAAACTTGGAATGTGAAGTGCATTTTCATTATTACCCTTAAATGGTATAAAATAGAATTAGCAGTGTTTGAATTTATTGAAAATGGCTAATAGGGAAAAAGATCAGCTATATGATTATGTTGGATAGGACTGGAAACATTACTGTTTTGAAAATGGATTTAAAACATGTTCAAATTATATTTGCAGCATTTTGATTACACTATCAAAATTATGATTAGTGTTGAAATAAATCTAAAATGACGAGTGATTATTGTGTTAACTGAGGATTTGCGCTGATTATTGTCACTGATTTTTAGAGTAAACATAATAGTAGATCATGACCAAAATCCAAACCCTACAATTCAGGCCAAATACTATTGATGTTTATCATAAGCTCCTCTATAGAGGAATGGACTTTAGTTAAGTAAAACAATGACAATCTATTTATTAATATAAATAATTCAAGTGCTACAGAGCACTTGAATGTTGCTGATACTTACTATGTAAGCAGCTGTTCAGAAGGTTTGCCTATCATCTGGCCAGCCACCTAGTCTGTGTCTGACTACAGCCATGATGGATATAAATAATTCTCAAAAGTTTATAACATGTTAACGTGGCCAGCAATCATAACGTTCTGTTTTGAGCATTCTGACAAATGAAGACAAGTCAAATAAAAGATCTGCTCCATTAAAAGATTAAGTATTTTACAATAAATCATTATTTATCACCAAGATTAAAATTGGCATGACACATCATCAAACATGATCCTGGAACAATTTTTCAAGACAGTGTGTGGGTCCAAACCTAGAAACTACGCTTTTTGCCTCAGTGACATTCTCTGGCCTTTCAACACTACATAAAAAAATAGCTATGTATAAATGTTTAATGGACTTTAGCTGAAAAGTCATTAGCCATTAAAATTATGAAGTATATTAGTGACACTGATTTTTGAGTGCTTGTTAACACTAGGAAGTTATCCTGGATTAAAGCAGACCGTTAATTATAACAGCTATTTTTAAACAACGTTACCTGTGACCCTGCGTATTCCAGAAATGAATGTCACATTACAAGGACATGAAACCACTTTCAGCTATGTCTGAATAACTTCATCAGTAAACAAGCCCTTTTAGCCTATCTTCTACTTTGACAGATTGTCCAAGATACAAATGTGGTCAATAAAAACAAAATGTTCTTTTTAAAAGTTAAAAAAGTCACAGCCAACAAACACGATGTAGCTTCTAAACAACACCCTAGTTTTGATGTCTCTCTCTCCCTCCTCCTCCCACCCAAAATAAACAAATCCAGCTTGCAAGATGCTGACCAGTAATGAGGGACACTGCACATCCATCACACCCACTGTCTCAGGGGGAGGTAAGGGCACACAGGCTTTTGCAAGACCGTATTCAGACGATATAAAATTCAAAAACCAAGAGGAAGGCAACAAATTATATGATGAGAATTCATCATTCCTAATATAGGTCCCAGGTGAGGACCTATATTTCTATCCTGCCAAAAGTACGGTTAAGGAACACTAACACTGTGGTTCCCAAAGACACCCAGCTGAGAGAGTCACTAGCAGTCAAGGAAAGAGTCAAACATAGAGTGTTTTTGTAGGAATATCTTATGATTGTGTTACACAGCAGCTTATGAGGAAGTTTGAAAGCTGTTGGAAGGAACATTGTGTTATTACTCCCCCAGGAACCAGAGCCATTATTGTGCCATTGTCCTGCTGCAACACCATATGTGGTTTACAATTATTAACTCTAATGGTGCCCTTCAACATTAAATTTACTCCAACTCTGAATGTTATCCAATCAATTTATTTATATAAACTACTTTAGATAATCTTAATCTTAATGTGCTGGGAGGCTCTTTTAAGTGGTCTCACATAATATTTCTTGTTGCATTCTACGGTGCTGCTTTTGTACATTTTCTGCCTCCAACATAAAATATACCAGGATATCCATACCTGTATGTATATAAAATGTCTATTGTTTCCAATGGCAAGTAGCCTGCTCAAACTCACATACAAAATTAAGTAAAAAGTAAAAGGGAATAAATATTGAAAAGAACATTTAAAAAAAAAAAAAAGGCACCACAGTTGTAATTAGTGTACAAGAAGAATTTACTGCCTAGTTTCCATTTAATTTAACTGCTTATAGAACAGTCCTAACTCTCTAGCTTATCATGAAAGACACAGTCAGAAGAGGGAGAGAAGCAGTATATTAGAGACGACTTTAAATTCAGAAGGTTGGTGACCATATACACCTATTTAGCTTTATAAAATAATCAGTCAGAATTACTGAACTTGAGAACATGAAGTGGAATGGATATTCAGATTCTACAGCTTCAGTGGCCTAAGACACTTCCAAGATTATGTCCAAGGAAAACTTTGTCATCAGCCTCTTTTAGCTTAGAAGAGAGACAGAACTAAGACGTCACTGCCTTGTTCAATCCAGATGAACTAGGTAAATGGGACAACAGAATGTAATTATGGTAGGTCGAATTTAAAAATAAGACTGAGGAAATGTAAAAGAAACCAAAAAGTTGCGACCTTGAACCCACCTCAGTGTCTAATTTCTGGAGAAAGATGTTCACGTTTTAAGAACAAAAACTTAGATTTAAAAACAGTTGTACAATATCTACCACTGAAACAACTTTTCGTAACTATTTTTTTATTTCAGTAGCAAAAGGTTGCTGCTGACTCAGGTTTTATTTCCTGTGCTATTTTGCAACTAGAAACACTGTAGTCATTCCAGTACATAAGGAGGGACTAGAAAATGGAATCCATTAAAAAACAAAACCTGAAACCCATTCATTTAGTAACCGGCAAAGTGAAATGCCAAAGCAAACAAACAGCATCAATGATGAAAATACACAAAATACTAAATTGGCTTATGTTTTAGTCACCTGAGGTATGATAAGCAACACAGATGAGGGTTTTTTTTTTTAAGAATATATGACTTTAATTGACTTTGTCCCTTTAATGATAAATTTACAATGAAAATAACATGTCCACCATAATTTTGAAATACAACATAGCTACCACCAATTTGCTGCAAATGCCTTTGCATTATATTTGTTTGTGGCAGAGAAGTAAATTTGACAAAAATAAATTCTTATACACATCCACCTTTGTGGGATTAATAGCAAGATGAAATATTTCAAATTAAATAAAAGAAGTTAAAAATTGTATCAAATAATATAAATATTCCTCCTGGATCTCCTCAAGCAACATATTCCTCAGCACACTGCCTAATACACCAACTTCCATTAAAAAAAAGTGAGGAAACCAGATCTGTTTATTGAAAATGAGGCAAAAGGATGTATTTGATATTAGCCTGATATTTTACCTCTTGTTGATTAGGGTAAAAACTTCTCCTAACCTCCAACATCGATGTCAGTCCATCCCCAGAACTCTGAGGCCATTGGGAAGAGCACACACGGCTAATAAATGCGTGGCGCCCGTGCAACTTCTGGTGCATTTGCTGATGCCCTGAGGATCCTCTCCCAAAGGCTGCCAAAGATGCTAGCTGCAATTCCTCCAATACTTGCCACGGACAGGTCAAGTGGAGATGGTTTTATTAATTTGAAGAATTTGCTCTGCCATCTCTCCATGCTCCCACAATGTGTATTCAAGCATTACTGGACAAATACATCAAATAAATATCAGATAAAAGTACACAAAATATGCTCGGTAATGTAAAGAAAGGATATGTTTTAGGGTATGGTCAGAGAAGATATTCAAAGCCTCCATTGTTGCTCCTAGAAATGTCAGGACAATTCAGAAATGTCAGTTGCTTTACCGGTCTCCAGATTGTAATTGAAGGATCATGTAGCTCGCTCTCTCTTTCTCTCTCTCTAAATAGGTCTATAAAGATCAGCTGGAAAGTGCAGACAGAATTGTTCACTGGTTAGCTTTACTTAGAGCTACAGGGTATATATGTGCTTGGTTTTGTCTTACTGATCAATCTAGCTTACATTTTTAGCACACACAAACAAAAATCAGTTAAAAGAAAAAGTCGATGAAAACACGAACAACACAAAACAAATAAGGTTCCAATCGTGCAAATTTTGCTTCACTGGATAAAGCACTTCTTGACACAGTAATGTCCAGAATCCCCCTCCCCCAGAAAAATACAGGACTGAGACTGAAGCCATTCTTTTTTTTTCTTTTTTTTTTTTCCATTTTTTTGTTTTTCTTTTTTTCCTTAAGGCTATACAACACAAAGAAATAAAGCATGGAAAGAACACCTCATTGGTCTGAACACTTCATTCTTCTGGCTCTGGAGCGAGCCTTTGACAAAGCAATTGTGTGGTCCGAGTTAACTGTCTCATTGGGACAGCGAGAAAGAAGAAGAGGAAAAAATGAAAGAGAGGGAAGAAAAAAAAATAATAAGAAGAAAGTCAATGATCCCAACAATAAAATCCGAAATTGACTTTACAATCACAGGTACAAATTGCTCAGGTCGATAATTTCATTTCTCCTAAAGATCACTGTCGTCTAAAACTAATTAGAGGCGCAGGTTCCCAAGGAATTGTCAATATTCAAAGCAAATGTTGGAGTTTAGAAGGTTATCATTCTTCTACCGTGACAGTCTGACGGGGTGACTGGAAATATTGTCATGTGCTGCCAAGTTCAGGGTGTCGTTAACGGTTGAATCCTTGCTCCAGCTCATGGATCTGTCTCCTATTTGGCCTTCTTTTATAGTGGAAAGACTAAGAAGCCGGAAAAGGTTGAATATTTCCACCCTCCCATGAGGTTGCCCCTTTCCAGTTTCAGGTGCACTTTGTCTTCTCTTTCCATGTGGAGCAAGACCCCATTGCTGGCTGCTTCTCTGGTGACGTCCTGATCCCCTGCAAAAGCTGAAATCACTGGATAGCCGTTTTGCATTAAACTTACCTAAAAAGTGCAAAGAGAGAGAATCTGAGTTTTCTCAATACTCTCAATGGCTTTTTTGCCCTGTGCACATCACTAAACTTCTTTGCATGTTAGAAACAGGTTTGAATTAAGCTAAGGCAATGCATGATTTCTGTTATGCACAGACCCCTTTAACTAAAATAACCTACAGTCTCGTTCTTCATTTGCTGGATTTTGTAAATGCATCTTAGTGTCTAGAAATAAACATTTGACTAAAAAAAGAAAAAAAAAAAGGAAAGACAACATCTTCTTTAGATCACAACCCACCTGGATGGTTTGTCTGTTATAGACCTTGACCACGTGGAAACTGAAACTATATATCCCTTTTCTTGGTGCTACAAATATACTGGAAGCAAGATCAAAATGGTTGCCAATATTAACTAATACCTGGAAAGTAAACAAACAAACAAAGCAAAACAAAACAAAAAGGAGAGAGAGAAAGAGAGAAAGAGAGAAATCAGGCCCCACCTTAGAAAAGCACCCGTGAAAATCTGACATGAGCTCCATGACCGATATAAAGCCCAGTCGAAATGGCATTTGCAGCACAATTAAAAGTGCACTGCAGGGGAAAGGAGCCAAGTTACAGAAGCATTTAAAAAGCATCGCAGTTCATAAAACGGTTTAGTTATGCAAAGATGATCTCCAAAGCCTGTCAGATGAAGTGCAAATGTCCACACTGCTCTGTCAATAAAGCAAAGGTAGCAGAAAGCGAGGGGTGAAGGGGGGGGGAGGGAAAGGTAGGGAGGGGAAAGAACCAACACCAGTCAATTCACGATGCAAATGTATGTTTTTCCAGCTAGCACTACTGAAATCAGACCTGCCTTCAAGTTTAATAGGGTATAGGACTAAAATCGTACTGCCGAAAGGGGCGGAAGAGAAAGGGGCGGAAGAGGAGACAGGATGCTCAGCACTGGCAGTATCTGCCGGTTCATGCCTCTCCGTCCCTCCTGAGGTCTGTGACGGCTGGACCGCACCGCTCCCCACCCCTTCCCGGGCGGCTGGGGTGGGCCTGCTCCTCCTCCCGGACAACAATCTTAATTCGTTATATATTTCAAAGTCTTTTGAAACGAAGAAAAAAAGCGGAAGAGCTGAGCCCTCCGGCAGAT